GTGACCTTCTATAGCCTGAGAGAAGCACTAAAATTTGCGAAGATTTGGGTTCCGTTTTGCAAAAAGTACGAGGTTGAAGTTCGAGCTCCGTTTAGGTACTTCTTGAATGGCTCGAAACTGCCCCATGATCTGGAGAGGCCAGCAGAATTCAAAAAAGAGTGGAAAATGATGAAGGTAAAGTGACAGTGACGACTGAAGCAGCCATTTTTGTTTCTTTGTTTTGTTTTTTGTCTTATTTATGTATTTTAATGATAAACGAAGGAGGAATATGAGCTGTTGGAAGGCAAAATCGAGGAAGCAGAAGAAACCATATGTGGTTCACGTGAGCCTGGAGGGGAATTGGCTGATTTCTTCAATATTGACACCAAAAATCATCCCACCATAATAAAGGTATTTCAACTTCACCCCTTTTGGGGTTTGGGGAAAGAAAAAGAAAGAAACTTGCTGATTTTCAAGAATGCTTGGTTGGAAGTTAAAAGTAATTTTTGTTTTAATTTGGTCTTTTATAGTGTTTTATAATTTTTCTATACACTTCCGATAACTCGGTTAGATTATTGGTTCAAAAAAAAAAAAAAGCCTTTTGTAATTAGACGATCAAAATATTCCCACCATTTCTAATCTTGGGTTCCCTACGTTTTAAGTATTTGAGAACTGAGTAAAAATCGCGAGAAAATCAAATTGATTTAAAATCATTAACCATTCCTATTTGCAGATCTTATGGGAGAATAAAGAAGGTATTTCTGAGCTACCACATTTAATTTATCTATCTAGAGAGAAGAGCCTGAAACATCCTCACCACAGTAAGGCGGGCACTATGAATGTTATGGTAATTTAAAATATGTTTTATAAATATATACCAAAAGTTTAAAAATTATTAATCTTTTAACTTATATAATTTAATGTGTAGACAAGAGTGTCAGGATTATTAACAAATGCTCCTTACCTGCTCAACGTGGATTGTGACATGTTTGCCAATAATCCTCAAGTTGTTAAGCATGCCATGTGCGTGTTCTTCAACTCGGAAGTTGACTTTAAAGAGATAGGATTTGTACAATCTCCTCAATGTTTTTACGATGGGCTCAAAGACGACGTTTATGGAAATCAACTTGTGGTCGTATATGAGGTAAATTTAATGTACATGTGAGGATTGTACTAATGTTTGGTAGTCCAATAAAAATGAATTAAAACATTAGAAAGAGGGTGATGTGTGTGTTTGTTGGTGATGCCAGTACTTCACACGTGGGATCATGGGACTTCAAGGACCTTTATACAGTGGTACTGGCTGTTTTCACAGGCGAAAAATTATATATGGCCAATCACCTCACCACACTACAAATATTATCAATGGTAACTTTACAATTGTTTTATTTTTTGGGATCTTATTCCTAATTAATATAATCTCATGAATATTTGCTTATTTATTTATTTATTTGTAATTTGTAGAAAAAACTTCTGAGAAAGAATTGCTCAAGTCGTTTGGATATTCACAAGCTTTCATTGAGTCAGCAACTTGTGCTTTCGATGAAAATTCTGACCTCAAATCCCTTTTGGACAATGTTGAAGCAGCAGATCAGGTGGCTAGATGTGGCTATGAGAATGGGACTAGTTGGGGATCCAAGGTTTTTCCTAAATTATTTCCAACTCTGTTTCAATTTTGATTCTGAACTAACTATGAAGATTAGTGATTTTTTAGGGCTGGTTTGTAAATGTTTTAGTTTCTCGTTTTAGTTTTTTTTTTCTTTTTTAATAATCTCTTGAATAAGAAAAAAAATAAGAATTGTATGTTCCCAGCATCCTTCAAAATAATTAAACAATATTTTTATTTATATTTTGTAAACAAATTGGAAATGAAAACAATAATCAAGAATCAAGAAATTTGTTTTTGTTTTTGTTGTTTTCAAAATTTATATACAATTTTAAGAATGTTTCTTAAAAAATGAAAACTAGAATAATAAATAGCTATTTGGAAACGAGAAATAAAAAAAAGCATAAATATGAGTGCTCATTTCCAATATTTTCTCTCGTTTCCAATTTTTAATAAGAAATTTAAGTATTTTGAAACTAACTATCGTTTATTGTTCTCATTTTTTAAAACATTCTCGTATAGAAATTTTGAAAACAATCAAAACAAGTTTCTCGTTTTTTATTTTTATTTTCAATTTGTTACGAAGCATAAATATAAATATTATTTTTGATCTTCCTTCAATTTATGAGTAATGGATTCCTGCAATTTTATTTTCTATATTAAAAATGAGGAAACGACAAGAAACCAAATCAAACAACCCCCTTAGTAAACTGAGCCCAAATTATTGTTTTAATGGTGTTGGATTGAATTGTAGGTAGGGTGGATCTATGGATCTACCACGGAGGATGTCCAAACAGGATTGATGATTCAAAAAAAAGGGTGGAGATCTATTTACATTGCCTTAGATCCACCAGCCTTCTTAGGTTGTGCACCATCACAACTT